CCCCCCCCATTTCGCATGTTTAATATGGGGCTTAATTTGGGGGGAGGGGCTTAATTTGATTTTATGCCAATAAAACATGGTGGGGCTTCCTATTGGTGGAGGCCGTATTGTTGGAGAAACACGGTACATGAAATGTCTTTGTTGAGCCCTATACTTAATTAAGCCAGAGTTCTTCATAAAGTGTCAAATTCCATACTTCAGGAGTACAACTCATCATATTTATATGTTTAACATATATTTTCTTAAGACTGTGTTACATATAATGTAACTTCAAACCAAAGGGAACCATGACTAGATATGAACAAATCATGTAAGTCAAAGAGTCTTCAAATTTCTTACAACACTTGGAGAAGAAATCTGAAATTGGTGACAACTTGAAAGTGGCATTATTCTGATATTATGCTAAACAGTGGTATTCTGTTTTTCATTTTGGTTTAGCACATGTGGATATAGCCATTTTGTGGTTTCTAAACTATGGTTAATATTTAATACCACAGAATTACCCTGTGGTTAAGATGGCTGGCCAACAAATCTTATAAATAAATCATGTATAAATCTGGTAAAGCTGATAAACAAGCCATGTTTCTAGTCTGAACCTGGAATATACAGTTTCATACCATTTCACATTGTAATCTGCTATCCTGAAAACTATGTATAAACTACTTGGAGCTTTTAAGAAAAAGAGTGGAACATATTTATAATAAATATGTTAGGTAACACAGCATTTCTTATATGCAATTGATATACATGCACACATGCAGATCAGACTAGGAGACTAGGAAGGTTTATGAAAGAGTTTTTAAGTAAGAATTTTGCATTTTAACAGTTCTTATGTATCTCTCCCCCCCCCCCCAAAAAAAAAAAAAAAATCTCTTCCAGAATCTGTTGCCCTCGTTATGGTGAGAGGAGACAGACAGAAAGTGAATGGGGAAAGCGCTGTGTGGACAAATTTGATATTATTGGTATTATTGGTGAGGGAACATATGGGCAAGTGTACAAAGCCAAGGATAAGGATACAGGTGAGTGTAAACTGTGTCCTGTTTTTAGCCTTTTCTGGTTTGTGTGTGTGTGTATACATACGCACATACATATATACTTTAGATGTATACATAAGATTGTTTTAATTTTGTTATAAAATAAAAAGTATAAATGGTGTCTTCTTTATATAAAGGAACAAATGGCCTGCCTATGATAAGATAAACTGGTTGTCCTCTTGGTTTCAATGATAAGGGATGCAAAATACTGTGTTTCTCAGAAAATAAGGCTGGCCCTTATTTTTTTAGACCCCCGAAAAAACAGGCCATCTTTACAAGGGGTACCTTAATCCCCCCCCATGTGCAACCTTGCCTCTCCACCGGGCCGTTTCTTTAGTGGCTGTAAGGAGCACCCCATGCCCACCCTTGCTTGCCTACCTGTAGCCTGCCGTCATCCACTGTGGAAAGCCTGGCAAGCCTGGCCACCGTGCCGCTGCTTTTGATCCCTGCTTTCCCTGCCACAGTCATCGCTCATCCAAAGCCCCCCCACTCCACCTCCCCTCCACCACTTTCTTTCTCACACACAAGAAAAGCAAGCAAGGGAAAAAAAGGGAGAAGGGGGAGGCACTTTTGAACACATCCAGGACTTTTCACGTTGTCATGATCAGCCCCTGCCATGGATGTGGGGGGAGGGGAGGGGGTTGTTTCTGGCAGAGATTAGGGAAAAGGGGGTGGATTGGAAGAGATTTTCCCCACAACAATGGGGAACACAATGTTTGTAGGGTGTGATTTATCCAGGCTGCCCTCTCCTGTTATCTTTGCAGCCTTTCGGGAAACTTTTCTATGGTGGATTTTTGACTTTTCCCAATTTGCTTGCTGGGGGGGAGCATCGATTCTCCTCTAGCCTCTGCCTTTTCTCTTTGGCTCACAGCTTCCAGAGTTTGATCATTAAGATCTGCTTTGTGATCAAAGGCAACATGAAATGTGAGCTGGGGGGGGGGGGGGGGGGGAGAAGAAATAGCAGCTCGCGCAACTTACTTAACCGAGAGTTTCTGAACCTGAAAGTCCTCATCACTGCCCCATATGGCTCTTCACCTGGCCGCAGGAAAAAAAAACTCAGAAAGCCACCCAAGACAGCAAGCGTTTGTTTCTTTAAAATCTGCACGCCTTGTTGTATTTTAATTCTCCTTTCTCCTCCCCCACCTCCCATTTTTGAAGTTGGGCCGCTGAAAAGCTAACCAATTCAAGTTTGCAAAGACTGGGTGATTCCAATGGATCCTACCCCCCC